AAAAAGACAAAAAAAAAAAAAAAAAAAAAAAAAGATGCATCTTCAGCTTGCTTCCTTCTACTTCTGGGGTAAGAGCTCCAGGAGGGGTTTCAGACGGGGAGGGAGCAGTACCCATCTGGCTCCACCACATTTTAGATGTAACTGTGGGCACATTACTTACACTCTGCAGGCCTGTTTCTTCATCTGTGAACTGTGAGAATAACGCCGACAGGGTCCTTTGGAGGATTCAATGGGATTCCTAATGTAGGGCGCATAGAAGGCACATGTTAAGCATAGTTTTGCACCCCGGCTTTAGGGTGCAAGGAAGAGTGGGAGGTGTTTTCAGGGCTGGGCTCATTTTGTGCACTACTAGTGGACATCTCCTTTAGAAAGGACTTCCTTGCAATGAAATTCCCTCTTGAAATTTCCAGTCATCCTCCTTCTCTGCCTTCTGGAGTTTCTTTCAAGCATCTTGCCAAGAGGGGCTTCCCCAGACATAAACACAAGCATATGGATCCTCCCCTGCAAAACCATCCCCCCTGCAGGTATGATCTGGGATGACACTCATCCTTGGGATGGTTACTGTGAGACAAAATCAGGGTAGAAGCAGCCAGTCATAGGATCATTCTTCTTGGGCCCTGAGTATATAAGTATCTAATGAGTTTTGGGAACACCCATAGTCTGTCAGGGTGATGTGGGTGTTGTCTCCAGAAAGCACGTGTAGAATGTGACTGTAACTAGCAAAGTGTAAGTCTCCTCAGTTGCATCACATTCTTATTCTGGTGGTTTGTAAACTTGGCCATCAGAATTCCCAGGGAATCTATCAGCAACGTACAGATTGCTGGGCCCCAACCCTAGACTCTGATTCACATTTGGAGCCCAAAGAGAATTTGTTAGGTATCTCCAGCCTTGTCTGGGAAGTGTCCTGAACTGGGACCCTTAGTTTTTCTCTTTTAAAAGCATCTTACAGAGAGGGCCATATTACAGCTTGGTAACACTAACCATTAGAATCGTCCCACTAACCTTTTGCTTTACCAAGGTCAAGGGTTCTGGTCCCCTTACCAGCCAGCCACAAAATAACAAACATTTTGCTTTGATTTCATACTCAATAAGCAATTCCTAACCAAAATTTGGCTTCACAAGTAGATTTATCTCAAAGGACTGAATGTGCTAATCTAGTCTGTTTGATAGTTATAATTCTTGTGGTAAAGTAATAAACTTGCATTCTAGTTTATTCATCAGTCTCTTGTGAGTTCAGTTGAGAGACAGAGTAAGTCTAGGTAAACTGAACAAAATACTCTCTGGATCCGCAGGCACTAGAATTCAGTGGTCATGCCTCGGTACATGTAGTGGACAGTCAGTGCTCACCACACTGTGTGTGCCCTATACATCTCCCAGTCTTGGGCCATTGGGCTGGGGCCACATGATTCACCCATTAGCATATGAGAAGCACAAAGATAGTTAAGAGTGAATGTGAGTCTTCCCTGTCCTACCCCAACTGTACTGACTATAACCCAGAAGCAAAGAACACCAAGGTGGCAGAATTTTAAGATAAAAGCAGTTCAGCTTCCTGAGTCACTATGGGAGGAAAGCTACCAAAAGCGGCCTGGTGTTTACCGTGACATGAGCATGACACAAGCCTCTGCTGTGTTCAGCAACTGAGAATTCCTGGGACTCCTGCCTGAGCAGTTAGCAGTGATTAGCCTCCACAGTCCTCCTGTCTAGAGCACACTTCTGGCTTTACCTTTTCTACTTGCACAGGAAGAGAAACCACCAAAGCTCAAGTCCCATCCTGGTGGATAACAGTTTTATTGGTATACAAATGGTCACCCAGCGGTGGACGTGCTTGCTCTTCCTCCCTGACAAAATCAGGAGGAAAAAAGACTAGTCCTGGGAGGTGCTAATGTTTCTTCCCTGGGTCTAACTTGTTCAGGTTTTTAGCATGGAGCTTAGCATATAGTAGGTGCTCAGTAAAGACAGGCCATTATGATGATGATGACATATCCATAAGCGTTGACAAGGGTTGAAGGGGCAGCTTTCTTTTGTACAAGTTCATAGTCATCAGGCATTTATAAAGAAAAAGTTTATTTTCAAGAAGCACGCACACTATATACAATACACACCAACAGAAGTAAAAAAAAAAGTGCATTATGCGTATTCTACTGCAAATTCACAGTACAAAAGATACTGCCTTTTAAATACATAATATAAAAAAAACAAGAGGAAAAACAATATAATAAAAAAGTCATTGATACTGTAACATAACACACGGGAACCCACTGGCAGCTTCTGAAGACCAAAGATCAACTTGTCTTGAGGAGCTCCTGATTTTGGGGGGGTGGGGGAGGGCAGGGGGAACCTGTACCTACATTTTGTTGCAAAAGAGCTCAGGACACAAACAAAGCAGAAAAACAGGGTGGCCTAGGTGGTAATAAAATCTCTATTAAACAAGAGTGCAATTGTGTGATCAGGGCAATGGGTGAGGTGCTGGGCTGTGGTTCAGAGGATACTTGGCCTATGCCACCCCCCAGCTGGCTAGCAAACCAAATTACATTCTTTCATTGGCTACTATGGAACACGGCATGGGCCAATGCCTGCCTCGTTGGCAGGAACTACCAGGGCTGTTTCTAGCAAGACTCCTTGGAATAGCTGTGAACACACAATGTAAAAACTGCATAGCAGAATAAACACAAGTCTGGAGTAAGACAAGCTCAAGTCCTAATACCAACCACTGCTGACAAGACAAAGTATCCAATCACAAAAGATGAGAGTTTAACAGTTTCGCACAAATACATAGTATTTGTAAACTATTATTAAGGCACTCAATTGTAAAACAATAATTACAGTGTCGGAAAAGAGGGAGAAAGCAGCTATCTTCTCATGCAGCAAGGCTGACAGAGAGGGCAGTAGAGGACTGGTGAGCTGCTTCTAGACTCTTGTCTAAGGGAGTGACGGAAGCTGGGGCAATAGCACCTACTGCAAAACAAAAACAAGGAACTCATCTCCAGACTGAACTGGGGCTGCACTGCATAGCACTACTCCAGATCGGCCAAGGGACTCGCTTGGTAGCTCAGGTGACACAGCACATGTGTGGATGACAGAGAAGTGAAGCACATGATAATTTGATTCGTTACATATACTCATATATATATGTAGATGGACTCATACTCATAGGTGGTCAATTGCAGAGCAGAAAGTGACAGAACAAGGGCTATATATGATGGTAATTCAATGACCTCCATTTTGCCTGCAACGTCAGCAGGAACTGGGTGGAGGGACCAGGACAAGTGAACCTGCACTGGCTGTCCAGGTGTCACCAAGTTTCCCATCTACCTAGATCTCTTGCCAGAGGTAAAGTGGATGCCCTCACTGGGTTGTGTGTTTGGGGGAGCCCTGTTAGGTGGCCAACCAAAGAGTAGGGTCAGGTGAAATGTATTCTGGCACCAAGAATTTCCAGCCAACAGGAAGCAATTCCCTCTTTACATACCTTGGGCGGGGTTACTTAATATGATCTTGACTAAATGATGCAGTGTTTGTTCCCACCGGGGAGAAATGGTCTCCAGGGGAGCAGAGGATTCATTCACCTTCCAGGATGGGCCCTGAGACAAGAGCACACAATCACAGGGTTGTCCTGAAGGTCTATTCTATTCAACCTCAGCTCCATCCTGCAACCTCCTCTGGGCTTATCCAGGGGTAAAGGGCTTTAGAAGTGACTGGAATGCTCTTTAGCTGGAACACGTGCTGAGTCATCTACATGCATGAGCAACAGGATCCCGGAGAAGGGCTCCTACCCAAAGGTCAGAGCAAAGAGGCAGGGAATGCAAGAGAAAGAAACCTTGTTCTAAGGAAGTTCATGCAACCAGGGACATTGCTCAAAGACCCTGAAGTAGCTATAAGACAAAGAAATGGAAATCTGCACTGTCAAATTACAATCAGAGGGCAGCCTAGTATTCCCCCTCCTTATGACCAGTATCCACTTATACTCAAAACTTGATGAGAAGACCTTACTGTATCAATGCGAAAAAAAAGATGTAGAAAAGCTCAGTCAAAATGGCAGTCACCAAAATCACTGACCTGCGCAGCCTAAACCTCTGCCTGCCTCTCTCTTGTGTCACTTATGTTTGGAATTTTCCCTACCAGCTAAGATGACATACAAAGCATCAGCCAGGACATGGCATATCTTTCAGAGCAAACTTTTTCTTTCCGGAGACCAGTATGAATTCGTCCTTGCCAAGGTACCCCCAAGCCTGGCAGAATGTTCGTCTTGTTAGTATAACATTTTAAATAGCAATTTGCCGTATGTTTACATGCAACTGGTCTGGGTCTCGGAAAAAATCCTTATCCTTTTCTCCAGGCCAGGGTATGAACCATCAAATCAAGAATGCTTCATTTTGCTGTGGTGATGAGGACCCGTGTCCTGGTCTGTTTAGATGTTGGCATGTTAACTGGGCTTCTGGAAATGAATAGATGTTTGCCAAAAGCCAAAGACCCACTTGCATTTGTAATCTTCCCACACACCCCTGACTAACTGGGTAAGAAAAATTATGACTTTCAAAATTAAAGTTTCAACAGGATGTCATTCTCATACACAGACATGGTTTAAAACCAACATAAGCCTGTCATTCCCAAATTTAAAGGATTATTTTTATACAAAAATTGATCTACCATATGAAATTTAATTTGGCAAAACTTGGTATTTTTTTGAAAATATGCTTCTGTTGGCTGAGGGAGGGGGAAACCCATAGGGTTTCAGGAATAAGTGGATAATCACCTTTTAAGGTAATTTCAATGGACACTAGTGGGAAAACAGATTCCTTTTAATAAAAATGTGTGTGTGTATATATATAAAAGAATCACATCAGAGAAAAAGTTCCCAGAGAGAGGGTTTTTGCAAAAATTCTACCCACTGGTTGAAATATGAAGAAGCTGTTTCTGAAGACCCTGCCCAGGGTGCCCTACAGAATGGCTCCTTTAGGGGCCCAGTTCTATGCAATGTAAAATGGCAACTCATTTACCCACTTTCAGAATTTGGCTGGCCCTAGAAGGCTTCTTGGTTTCACTAAGTTAATCTGGCTGACCCAGCTGTGAAGTAAGATGGAACTGTGAGAAAGCTTTAGCCAATAGTGTCCCCCGCATACACAACTGCTCCATCCTGCACAGGAGTGGCAAGCTGGAGTGCCCTGCAAGGCCTGGGGTCGGGAAGAGGCAAGGGTGTGGCCTGAGGTGTTGAAGAAGCAGGGAAGGGCTTCAGATTTGCTGGTTGTTCAACAAAATCAGGAGTCAGCAAACTTTTTCTACAAAGGGCCTGACAGTAAACATTCTAGGCTTTGTGGGCTACATGGTCTCTGTTGCATATTATTATTATTATTATTATTTTTAACCTCTTAAAAATGTAAAAACCATTCTTAGCTCATGGGGCCATACACCATAGTTTGCTGCTCCCTAAATTAAGTCTTTCTGCCTTTCTAACAAGCTGCTGCTTCTCTCTCTTCAGGATATTTTAATAACCTTGCTGAATGACAGCCCAGAGCTGTATGTCTCTCTGGCTCACCTGCCTCTTATGGGTGCTACCCACAGAGCTGAGGCTCAGGCTACAGATGCCTCCTTTACTCCACCATTACCACTGGGAAGAGCTGGAGAGAAACAGGGAGCAGAAGTCTCGCTACAGGAAGGGGTGACTGTAAAGCTTTGTGATGCTGCTCAACAGTCTCATTCCTCAGAGAAACTACTGCTGAGTTGCTGCTGGAGAGGGATCTACAAGTTCCTCACTGCTGACATCTCCTTTCTCTCCCCATAATGAACAGATGGGACCTTGTGAACCTGAGTGCTGGGGCTCCCAGCAGGGCGATCATGTTTCAGAATCACTGCCCCTGCTGGACACTTGAGTGCTTTTGAAACCTAAACACAACTGCATCTGGTTCAGCAGTATTTGAGGCTCAAAAGTACTTTGAGGTGCTTCCCCCTCAAAGTTGGGGGTGATTTAAACCTCACCATTAGCAACAACTGAGAACACCTCATACATGCTACCCACCTGACGGCAGTACTGGCCAAACACACATCATTCAGCTGTAACAAAAAAACGAGGACAGAGAACTTTAACGGCATAGACGACTGCTGTTCGGCACACAGTGAGTTCAACAATGGCACCGGATGCCTTACACTGATGACTTTACCTAGCCATGCTTGGTGCAATCGAGCTAAAAGTCGTGACATTTCTGGGGTCCCAACCAAAAAAAAAAAATTCTTTTTTTGGAAAAACCCTTTCTGAAACAGCATTATTCCCTGCAGTGAGCCTCATTCTTGTATTTTAAAAATAAAAAGCACAGCAAGAACAGAGGTAGGACTTATGTTGCCATCCAAGAGATTTCCCCCAAGGGCCAGGATGAGCTAGGAACCTGTGCCACAGTGATGATGTCATCACCACAGCTCTTCTTTCACATGTTGCACATGGAATATTCTGGATGTGTGTGCATATCTGTATGTGCTCTTAAAACATGACTCTTCTTGAGAACATGGAACTTGAGGACCAGAATGTGGTGTCCACTGGCCAAGTTTCTGGTTCTCCCGGGCTACACAACCGCATCTCCCCTTTCTTCTTGTGCTGCATGTGAGTTATTTTCTTCTCCTCCTCCTCTCCAAGGTGGGGGACGGGGGGAGAGCAGGATGACTTCAATTGTCGAAGGGAAATCAAGATGTAAGGGGCTGACCAAAATCCACAGTGAAACTACGGGAGGGATCATATGAAAATATACGTCCCAACGCAGCAAAAGGTGGGTCAGCTTTTGCCCATCCATGAGGGGCTTTTCAAGTTTCCAGGGGCCAATTTCCCTAATGGTTTGGAGGTTGCAGTTGGGTTCTTTGGGGCTGCCTGGGGCTCATGCAAGAGGGAAGACTCGCTCAACTTGGCATCCTGGGAGTCAGCGAGGGTGGACAGGTCGGCCTCACTGGACAGGTCCTCCGTGGAGAAGTTGAGACTTCCGAGCTTGGCAAGAGAGTGGGAGCGCTTCAGTGGGGAGGAGACGGTGAGGCCCGCCAGCCGGAGCCGGGTCTCGATTTCCTGCGTGCGCTGCTTCACCAGCCCCGGCTTCCCACGGACGCTGTGGATGCTGTCACTGCTGGAGCTCCGAGTCAGGTTGGAGCTCATGGAGGATGAGGTGGGGGTGTAGCAGATGGTCTTTAGAAAATCTTTTGAGAAATGACTGGTGTGATCCAGGCGGTAGAGAAAGGGAGTGGGGCTCTTCAGGGAGGCTCCTTCCAACAGAGAAGGGGCGGCCTCTGCTTTCTCATCCCTCCCAGCTTGGCTGGGTGAAGCTGGGGACCCTGGCTCATGGACAGCCACCAGATCCTGGTTCTCCTCGGGTATGCTGGCCTCCAGCCTGCTGGCAGGGCTGTCCCTGCAGGCAGATGCCGTATCTGGGAGCACACTCTTTAACCTTTCTAGCTCTTTGGTGTGCTTGCGGACCAAGCCTGCCTTCTGCAGCTGAATGATGGATTCCTGGTGCTGCATCAAGTAGCTGTTGGTTGTTGGTTTCTCAGACTCATTACTGAACAGAAGCCTGCGGTCCTTGGCTGGCTTTGGGTCTCTCTTAGGTGACAATTCTTCCTTCACCACTTCCATGCTGGGAGGGCTCTTTTCACAGTGAGAATTCTTCAAAAGGAGGGACTTTGGCAGAAGTTTTGGGGTCTCTCTGGAAGGTTCCAATAGGCTAGCAGGTAGTTCTGGGGCAGCCCCAGCCCCACAGTCACTGGTGTCTGACCTCCTTGAGCCTGCTGGTGGTAGGAATGGGGGAGTTTCGGCTGGGCCAGAAGCCAGCTTCTCTGGAGCTCGGGTCTTGCTGGCCGTGTGGGCCACAGAGGAAGATGTGACGTGGGGTAGGAAGGCTGGCTGAGTGCAGATGGCAGGAGCACGAGGGTCCTCACATGGCTCCTTGAAGGCCTCAGGAGCCCTGCTGGCTGTCGGGTACATGCAGTTGGTGCAGGATTTATAGGAAGGCTTCACTTTGTTAAGGATCCCAAATATAGCATCATGCTGCAAGGGGACAAGAATATTGTGAGAGAATGTGATAATGAGCTAATGACCAAAAATGTGAGAAATGCAGGTAGGGAAGAGGGCAAAGAGGGGCTGGGGGTGGGCACTGGACAGGCAGTGCTCTTACTTCGTTTGGTGCAGGAATAAAGATCTCTCAAAACTCACTTGACCGTAACAGTGCAGGTTAGAGAGGAGTAAGAGGTAGTGAACCAAACTCTGCAGAAGCTAACTGCCCAAGGTCCCGGGCAACCCTTGGGCCACACAACCAGCATGGTCAGGGCAGTGCTTCCAGGGACCTCCCTTCTGAGCCCTGTCTCTGCCATCTGCGTGGTATGATCTTTTCCAGGATCTGGTCTCATGTGGAAAACAGGTGACAAACCCCAGCCTCACAGCACTGTGAGAATGAAATGAAACAGCGTGTCTGCCACACAAACACAGAAAGTGGTCTCTCCCTTTCAGAAGGAATCTGCATTTGGGCAGTCTGCAGCCTGACAAGGGAGCATCCCGACAAGGGAGCACCCCCTGTCCAGCAAGAGTACTGCATGGCTCCAGAACCATCATCTAGCCATAGTCTTCACTAGAGAGGTGGCAAAGGGCAAAAATGGTTTTCGGAAAGACTCCAACACACACCCAAATGCAGGTGCCCACAGGCCCCAACGAGACAGCTGGGCAGAAGTGGGTTTTATATACTGAGAGAAAACACATTTCCATTGTTTCCCAAGGAAACCCCCTGCCCTGTGGTCACTGGGGTCTAAGTGAAGGCAGCATGCACCTCTACACACTCCCCCATCTGCCGGGCAGGGCGACCCTTCCCCTCCCTCATGGCCTGATCGACAGGCACAAGAACTGCTCTCCTGGGCTGAGAAAGAGGCAAGGAAAGCAAAAGGGGAGGCAAGGGCAGCTGACTCTCCGAGAGTTGTTCGGCTGTGAGATTCCTGAGCTGGTCTAAAAGGAAGCCTTCCAGGCAAAGGGCTGATGTAGGTTTCTTGTGATTTCTCCCCACAGGCGGAGCTTGGGTTTCCCCCCTCCTCCCAACTGTCAAGGATTAATACCATCCTGTGTCCCCCAAGGTAAGAAGTTGTGGGCTGTCCAACAATGGAAGAGTCAAAAGGGCTCTCGGCCGCTCCTCGGGGAAACAGGGTCTTCTGCAGGGTCTCTGTCAGGAACCCTAGGGCTGGCTTCTGGGTCCACCTGCTACCCTTGTGTTACGGCCTGAATTTTTTTTTTAATTGTAATTATCACATTGTAATTATACACACTTATGGGGTACAATGTGATGTTTTGATACATACATATGTATATAATAATTGGGTTAAAGTAGTTAACGTATTAATCACCTCATGCATTTATCATTTCTTTGTGGCGAAAACACTGAAGAGCCTCTCCTCTAGCTATTATGCAATATACAAAACTTGACAGTTAACCACAGTTGCCCTGCTGTGCAATGAAACACCAGAACTTATTCTTCCTACCTAATTGAATTTTGTACCCGTTGGCCAACCTCTGTTTTCTCTCCCCAGTCTCTGGTAACCACTGTTCTATTCTTTAAGGCCTAAATTCTTGACCCAGAAATGTTTCTGAAGCTCTAACCAAAGTGTCTACGTGTTCATTTTTTCTCAAACCTGGATTGAAACCTACCACAGTGAGGCATTGGAGAGCACCTTTCACAGCCCACGGGGTAACAGGGTGGGGGAGGATTCATTCATTCAACACATTATTTATGGAGCACTTGCCTCATGCCAGGACTTGCACCAGAAGCAGGGACAGCAGACAAGACACAGCCCCTCCCCTGGAAGCCTTCTGTATACAAGCTGGAAAGGACCAGAAAGCTGTGTGGAAAAGTGCTAGAGGAGAGAGGAATGGGCTCCAAGTCTCCACGAAGTGAAGGCTTCCCAAAGGAATCAACACCTCAGCTGAGACTTCCGGGACAAGCAGGTGTTGCCCAGGCAGAAGGAGGCCTTGTCCTGCACTTGTCCTCTTATCCAATCTTCTCTGTGTTCACCGTCCAGTGACTCATGGCTAAACCACTGTGAACTAACCATGGCAACACTGTCCTGGACAAAGAGGTTTTATGTCATCTGTCTCTAGGATTATCTGCTCTTTGAGGGAAGTGGTAAGTTGCAGGGGAAATTCATGAGTAATTAACATTGGGTTTGGAATATGTTTTATGATTTGGAGGTTGGGAGATTTAACTTCCCAGTTTTATTTGCACTATAATGACATGATGTTAATAAAAACCGGCTTTATACTTGAGTGCACCTGTCAATATCCCAGGTGCTCTCACTTGAGCACTACAGCTGTCCTGTGAGATGGGGAGGCGAGGCTAGGGGAATTGGGACGCCTCACCCTAGGGCCTGGTGAGCAGTGGCAGAGCCAGGGGGGAACCTGAGACCAGGCTGCACACCACACCCCCGCACAAAACCAGCCTCCACTCCTGGGCCACTTCCCATTGATGGAACAGGGAAAAGCCTAGCTGGAATAAGCCATTTTCTGGGTATGCACCAGGTGGAAGGCAAAACCTTGTTGCTGAAAATCCACCAAATATGACAGCTACAAGAGACTAACGGAGTTAAGCATTAAAATCTGAGTTGAAAGACTGCCAGATACATGATAATGTTGAGGAATCATTATCAGTTTATAAACATGGTAATGGTATTTTGGTTATGTTACATACTGGAGCATTTATGGGTAAAATGATAGATCTGGGATTTGTTTCAAAAATAATCCAGGGTGTGGGGAAGCAGGTGAGGGTGAGAAACAAGGACGGGCCCATATTGATAAAGGCTGAAGCTGGGTGATAAGGTCTATGTTTTACATTTTACACAAGAAAAAAGAAATTGAGTTGGAAGCCCTGCACGCGTCATGAATAAGGTGCATGGGGTAAGGAGCATGCAGGGATTTGTGTTACCGCCTAAAGATCTACAGCCCACTACACATGTGCACGCTACATTCCCAACCAGCCAGCAGAAGCTCCCTCTGAAATAAAGCCTCTGATTGCTGGAGATGAGACCTGCCGGCCTAGCAGAGTGAATTGGCAGGAATGGCCAGGAAGGGGCTGCTCCACAGGGCTGGATGGGAGTGATGTGGTTTGTCGCCCCACGTGCTGGTCCCATGCCTACCTCAAAGTCATCCGGACAGCTCCTCTTGCTGTTGTTGTTATTTAGGTTCTCCCGGTTGAGCAGGTTTCTGTCCAGCTGGGTTGGGATCTGCCCCCACTGCCCTCCTCCCAGACCCTCTTCCTTGTCCATCTCCTCCACTTGCAGCAAGGAGCAACTCTGGGCTTTGGGGCTTCTGAACTCTAGTTTCTTCTTTATGTCCTTCTCACAGAGTCCAGAACCTTCCTGGGCATGTCTGGCTGGCTTGTGCACTTCTGTGGGCTGAGCTGCCTCCTCCAGCAGAGCCTCCCTCTCCAGATCCTCGAGCTGGACCAAGCTACCAGATTCACTGTCAGGGGAAGGCAGGAGGGGGTCTGAGAGTCGACGGAAGCAACAGGGGAGAGCAGGCCCTGCTGGGGCCCTGCCACCTGGGAACCCAGACTGGGCGACATCTTCCAAGCAGGGCAGCCGGGTGTCTGGGGGGCCATCCAGGGTCTCTGGCAAGAAGTCGCCAAGTCCTATGGGGTCATCCACAGGCTGCTGGTGGCTGCTCTCTGCCTGCTGGCGCCACAGCTTGTTGTGCCGCTGCTTGCTGTGGGGAGATAGGGCAGAGCAAAGTGAGCAGGGGACAGCAGGGTTGGGGGAGCAAACTAGGGACAGCCAAGGTCAGGGAGGGGGACAAGGACAACTCTATGGCTTGCTTAGGTAAAGCCTCTCTGCTTATTTATTCGCAAGAAACATAAGAATGTGAAATGGCATCAGGATCCCAAATCATCATGGCTCACATAGGAAGCCTTACATGACTTTGTGCCACGTGCTGACGAGGTGGCAGATCCACCAAGGGAGTCTAGACTTGTAGTCTGTGTGTCTGTATTTAATCTTATTTCACTTTGTGAACTTAGTCATGTCAGTGACATTCCATCTGTTTCTCTGTCAAATGAGAATAACCCTCTCATACCAATGCTGTAAGGAAATTAAGAGGATCAAAGCAGACAGTATATTCAAATCTATACACACTAATATCACTGTGTAGGCATGTTAATGCATGTGAATAAAAGTTGGGAAAATCCCAGAAAACTGGAAATATTTGTTCGAGTCAGAGAGATTACAGGTAAGTTTTAAAAAATTTTTTTTCTATTACTATGATATTTGTTTTTATAATACATTTAAAAAATGTAATACAAAAAAAAAGAGAAAAGGGTTTATATTGAAATAAGGTAACTATGTCACCCCTGTGGTTCTTAGAGTACTAGCAACATCATGGGCTTCCGTGTGTTAGTGCAGGTAAAAGCACAGTGGAAGGCAGGGATCTGCTGCGGCTCTCCGATGCAAGGCGGCAATGCAAGTGTCTGTTACTGTCTGCTTCGTGTGCACGCTTCATCGGCTGCTCTGACTGTGGCCTGGTTCAGCTGCAAAGGGCACTGGTGCCCGCAAGAGACTGAGAGACTGCAGGCAAGGACAGCAGGACACTCGCTGTTCCTCCTCTGGGCCCTGCCTGGGAACTTGTCCCACCTTCTCCAGCTGACGGTGAAAGAGTCCAGAGATGACTGGAGCTGTTCTCGGGGCTCTGTTCAACCCTCCCAGGGCACTCCTGCTTTCCCAAACTTGGCCGAGAAGCCAGTGGACTTAGCCTGTGACTTCCTCCTGACCCTGGTCAGAAATGGCCCAGAGAGGCCTGCTTCTCATCCAGACTGGACAGAAAGGAAACAGGGAGAAGGTGAGTCCCCAGCTGTTGGCTTCTGATTATGGAGCCTGGGGTTCTGGAATCACAGTGGGGATCTGCCTGGGATCACTGGAGGACCCTGCACCACTCCGAGTGAGGGAGGCTGGATAACCTCAGGCCTCCATGCATGGAGCACCCCCCACCTCGGAGGCTGAAAGACAGAGGTGTGTACCTCCCCTCTGCCGTCCGCTGGCTGTGGGATGTGAGACAAACTAACCTTTCAGTGTCAGTTCCCTATCTCCATCCCCCACCCCCCACCAAAAGGGGGATAGCCTGTACTTTGCAGACCTTTTTGGGGTGGGAGTTAAAGATTTTAAAAGAAGCTACATTTATTGAGTATTTACTATGAACCAGGTCTGGCAAAGAATCTGTAAAGGTAAACGTGTACGGTATTCATTCGAATGTCATAAGAGTCCTATCAAATGGGCATTCTTTTTAACCTCAATTATTTGTGAAAAAATACACATATCATAAAATTTGCCATCTTCACCATTCAGTGGTATATTATTAACTACATTCATAAAGTCATGCAATCATCACCACCATCCGTCTCCAGAACTCTCTTCATTTTACAAAACTGAGACTCTGTACTAATTAAACAATAACTTCTTGGTCCCCTCTCCCTGTAGCCTGGCGACCATAATTCAACTTTCTGACTGTATGAATTTCACTAGTCTAGGTACCTCATATAAGTGGAATTGTACAGTATTTGTTCTTTTGTGGCTGGCTTATTTCACTTAGCAGTGTCTTCAAGCTTCATCCATGTTGTAGCACATGTCAGAAGTTTCTTCCTTTTTAAGGCTGAACAATATTCCATTGTATGAATATACCACATTTTGTTTGTCCATTCATCCATCGATGGACGCTTGGGTTGCTTCCACCTTTTGGCTATTGTGAATAGTGCTGCTGTGAACATGAGTGTGCAAATATCTCCTGAAGACTCTGCTTTCAGTTCTTTTGGGTATACAGCCAGATGGAATTTCTGGATCATACGGTAATTCTATTTTTAATTTTGGGGGGGAATCATAACACTGTTTTCCATAGCACTTGCACCATGAATACCCACACTCAGGTAGGCACTAATTCTTAACTCAGAAGAGGAAAATGAGGCTCATGGAGACTGATGAACTTGCCCTAAATTGTCCAGCTCATAAGTGGTAGACTGGTAGGTTTGTCTCTGCAGTCCTGGGACCTGCCCTGCAGCAGGCTCTGCACAGGCTGTGCACCAGGCTCTGCACAAAGCAGATGCTCAGGACACGGGATATACACATGCCCATATCACACACAAGGTCTTGACTTGGATTACAAGTTAGGCACCGTTCCCTGCAGCAGGAAAACAAGCTTTGTGTGTGTGCCAACAAAATCAAAACAGATCCCTCCTGGAAACTACTAATCAAAGCCCAAACAATAGTTGTTTTCCTCAAACCGGCTCTCCCAGAGAGGCAGAATTTTAGCTGCGGAAGCCACTGCCAGGCCAAATGGGAGCACGCTTGGATGCCTGGCTGCAGGGCTCTCCAGCTCCGTCTGCCAGCCCTTCTCTCTGGGCAGGCACCCACCTTGCGTCCAAGATGCCTTCATACTCAGACAGCTGCCTCATAAAGCCCGCGTTGGGTCGTGCAATGCTGCGCTTTTGCTTCACGTAGTTATACGCTTTTTCCAGAGGCCAGCCAAATTCCTTCATGGCATAGGCTATGACCGTGGAAGCAGAGCGACTGACGCCCATTTTGCAATGCACCAGGCACTTGGAATGGTTCCTCCTGAAAGGGTTGGGGTGGAGAGGAGAAAGAGTTAAAATGCTTCAATAGCTTCATTCTCAAGGCTTTTACCCACCTGATTTTCTTTAAAACCCTGAAGTTATCTCATTGCCTAAACCCTCCTATGTCCTAACTTTAAAAGCGGAGCAGATGTCCACACACCCTCTAAAGGAAATAACTTTGCTGTAAAATCAATTAGCACATAATGGGAAATCAAGATAAATCTGTCCCTGTTTAGCCAAGTTTTGCAGGGAGAACTCCAAAATTCGGCTGCCTTTAGGGACAAAGTGGGAATCTTTCCACATCAGTGGGATAGGCTAGGGACCCAAACCCCTTTCCTGGGAAGTGACTGGGCAGCTAAAGGGATTTCTGCAAAAGCTACTCAGCAGCTACAGCTGATGGAGCCAGTGAATGAGTTACTGTAGAAAAATGAGGTCAGTGGACTGAAGCTGCGTGGCCCTGGGGAGAGAGAGAGGTACTCAGACAGGAGGGCTGGAGCGCAAGAGCAGGACAACAGCACAGCCAACTTGGCTGAGGGAGAAAGAAGACAGGGCGGAAGATGAGGCCGAGCTGTTACTTGCAAGGAGACAGAATCGGCCCAGGCGTGGCTGATTTAACAGAGAAGGCCAGGTCGGGGACAGTGTTTCTCTAAGTATCGTTTGTTCAAGAATGTTGACTGGTGAAGGCAGCACCTGTGAAACTTTATTCATACAGAAGGGAGACCCACCAGGTGGGAGGAGGCTCGAGTTTCCTATACTCCATGCTTAAAATTCCTCCCCAAATCTGCAATTTTTTTTTTTTTTTTGGCTGCTGGTCTTGAAGTCTTCATCAAGGGAGCCCTGAGTCTGTCCCCTGGGAGCACAAGAAAACTAAAATCTGGTTAAGGACACTTTATGTAGCTTTGACCTGGAGGGTTACAAAGCAGAGAAGGGTGTTTCTCCAGATAGCATCTGGGAGGATTCTCTCTTTCTGTTCTTGACTTCAATAAGACAGAGTTGTTCTGCAGGAGAATAAAGTGAGGACAAAAGATGGGCAAAACCAACCCACCACTCAGGGCAGTGAGGCTGGCCACACCCTTTGGTGGTCTGTCCCTGTCTACGCTAACAGGAAAATCGCACTAAGTTGGGAAGAGAAGACAGGCTGGATTCTCTGAGAATCCAAAGGAGGTCTAAGCTCATGAACACGCCAGCTCTCCCCCAGCTCAGCGACTCTACAGGGGCACAGCTCCCAAGAGTGTCCACTTGGTACTGCACCTTTCTCTGGAACCAGTGCCGATGTCAAAAACTGAGGTCAAATGTCACAATCACAGATATGGGGGGCAGAACAAGCTCATCAGGGCCTCTACCTGGTGAAGACCAATAACCCTTTGGTGCTTGGGGTCCTGCAGCTGAAAACAAAGGTCCATCAGACATCCAAGCTTCCTCAAGCCAGCTGGCTTCTGAGTCTCTGACTGCCATTGATTTCTGCACCCCCAGCAGCTGGTTTCTTCCTCAGACCGGTCCCCCTGCCCACTTACTTTGCTTTGTTTATAAAATGATATGCTTCATTCCAGTGGGCTAGAAGGTCTGTTGTCTCTTCATCGTAGACTCGGATGTTATGATATGCAAATAAGCCAGGGAAAAAATTATCTATTTCTCTAGTGACATTTAAAATGTAGTCAACCCTGCAATGAGAAAAAAATAAAAAACAAATTTGGAGAATCAGAATGAGAAAATACAAAACACTAGCCAAGAAAAAAAATTAAATACACATTAATAAAGGATATATGTTTGTGGTGGAACCTTTGTTTTTCATAATGGCAATTTAAAAAAAATACTTCCTAACTGCCCAATATTTATACTAAAAAACCAAATTTCTTTATTTAGAAAACAGTATAAAAAAGATAACTCAGTTCAAAGTACTGCTAAGCAATGTTACTTCTGGAAAGTAAAGATAAGTATTACTTAAATACATATCTAAGCTCCTTAAAGTTTCAAAATTCATAACTGTTACGAGTATACAGAGGATTAAAAGAAAAGTCTCCACACTTAAACAGTTAAAAAGCAGAATATACCAATCCACTATTTATGTCCTTGGGAACTGCCTTAAATCCATTCTGAAACAAGGCAAAATATAAATAAATATTTGAGAAGTTCTGCTAACCCAGGTTCTGTAGTTCTCTACACTTAATAAGTACTTTTATTTCTGGAAGGACAAAATAATTTCAGGAGTTAGAAAACATCTCAAATAGGTTCCATAAGAGAATATTTATCTATGCTTTAAAAAATACCTTTAAAAGTCATTTTATTTATTCCAGCAAGATGGAAAGCACAGAGTACCACCCTACATTGTAAGAATACTTTCTTTTGAAAGAACACATCTTAACCAGTAGCTCTAAAGATGTATTTTGAGATTTGTTTAGTCTTGATTTTTAAATTTAGTAATTCAAGAATGCCATTATGTCAGATCCACAGAATGGTGATTTTGTGGCTATGTTGTCAAAAAAATAAATAAATAAATAAAAGAGTCCAGACATCTGTTCTTGAAGGTCTAGCTTTAAACATTTTTCATTCCTGCTATTGAGCACTTCTGATACTAAGACAGGCATGTTTCTGGCCAACACTGAGTATTTAGTTGCAAGATTCCCACCATGACCCAAAGTATAGCCTCAGACAGAGCCAGGAGTGGTCCAGGGATCAGGGTTGCTGACTGGCAAATCAGCCATTGGATCTCTGTGTCCATGCTAGGAGTCTCAGCAACCGGTGGTGGGAGGGGCCTCCAAACCTTGTCAGCACTCAGGCTGCTCTATCCCATGTGAGTCTGATTTAGAAACCTTCCCCCGACACACACAATCACACAAGACTCCAGCAATATCTAAAACCCATGAATTATTCAGGACGTGGCATTTTGAAGCACATCTGTTTAGCTATGCAAATCAGCCCCCCAGCCACTTCGGAGACCAGGGTTCAGGCAACAAAAGGCAGGCAGCCCAAGGTCTGAACCTCGATGGCACAGCGGAGGGTTTCTGGGCTGCCTGGAAGGACAGGGGAAGACAAGGGGAGCAGACTCACCCTGAGCCCTGCAGTTCCTCCAGATTGGATGCATTCCATTCAGAGCCCTGGGGGACAGATCACACAAACCCCCGTGAGTGTCACATGTCGGCCTCAGAGCTGTTTACGGGATGCATGGTTTATCCTAGCCCTGATGGTGAGGCCTTATTGCATGGGCCCTTGGCCTCAGAAAACAGAGAACTGAGAGGCTGGTATCAAAGTAGGTTCCGAGGTATTTACAGTATCATTGACGTGTGCGACAGGGAAGGAAGAAGACGGACCATGCTCACGGGCCCCTTGGCTTTAGGGAAAGAGTGAGTCCAGGAAAACCCGCTCCCCACTTCACATCTTTCTTTCCTAAGATTCTGCCACGGTCCCATAGCCAGAGACCTATGACCTCCCACTCAGGGAAGGGCACGTTCACCACACACTAGTTAAGGCAGGAATCCCTCTACCTTTTCTGGGAAGTATTTTGGCAATATTTAAAAAGTCCCCACCCTCTGACCCAGTAATTCCAGTTATAAAAATCTGTCCTGAGGAAATAATCAGAATTCATAGAGATTTAGGTATGAAGATATTTATGGTTATTCATAACAAAAGGATGGAGACAACCTAAAGGCTCAATGGGAAGAAAGTAGTAAAATAAAAGATGATGGATCCTTACAATGGAGTCACTGAAATAACTCATTCTTTCGGAGAATATTTAATGATGCAGGGAAACACCACATAAGGAAAAAATTTTTAAAAAGAAAGCAGGATACAAAACTATGATCCTTTCCTTTCTCTCTCTTTTTTAAGAAGCATTAAAAAAATAAAAAAATATGGGGGAAAAATATACCAAAATGTTAACAGTGACCACCTCTGGATTTGTGAGATTGGGAATAACCACTTCTTCTACATACTTATTTGTATTTCCAGACTTTCTACAACATGTTTTATTTTAATGCATTTTAAAATGGCATCATTAAGAAACAAACCCTTCATTCCTGAGCAATTCAAAGAACGTGGAACAGAGAAAAAAACAAAAAATGATCACCTCACTCTTAGGAAATGCAAACGAGAGAGTCACAAAGAGCAAAAGAACCTGTCCTAGTCTCCATATTAACTTCCTTTCCCCAGTTCCCAAAAGGGCAGACCCTCAGGACCCAGGGCTGCAGAGCCATGATCAAGCTGGCAATGTGGGGGTGCTCGCTGAAGTTTCATATTTGAGGGAGAGGTTCAAACATAAAAATTCCTTCAGTATCTCTCATGGAAAAAGTGACATAGAGCACCAAACCACACCGAAAGAATAATGCAACTCCACTGAAGCTGTGAGTGTTGTCTTGCTGTGACCACCCCCTAGTGGAGAAAGCCAGGACCAGGATGGCTTGTGTTCATTCTCACCAGGGAAGTCAGTCAATTTCCCAGGGAGACAATAAGTGCCCAGTGCTTCCCGGATATCTTTCATTGCAATCCACACGCTTACATACATTTTAATGTATAAATATATACATATATGGATAGACACAGATATATAAATACATTAAAAATGTCTATCACTACATATACATTTGGAGAACTCTTATTTACTTCCTACAGGTAGAAAACAAAGTCATTCATGTCTTCAGCAGCAAACACCCTTCCCTCAGCTTTCCCAGGAAGCAGTGTCTCCTTTAACAATGGTTACCACTTATTAGCACCTACAGAAACTGTACTCGGTGTTTAAACATGTATTTTATTTAATCCTCATAATCAGAGGATACAGAATGAAGGGAAAAGAGAAGCAAAGTGACTTGCTCCCTGTCACATGGCTGATGAGGCTGAGGAGTGGGAACTTGGGCCCTGGTGGGTCTGATATTCATTACACCACATGGCCACTCTAATTTTAGTAACGTGCCTTCCTCTGCAGTCTCTGACTTTGAAAACTTGCCAGTTGCCTTCTATGGAGACTTACGGCATTAAGACAATCTGAGCAAGAGATAGAGGTGCAGAGAATCAGGACAACCCACCCACAGTTCCATGACCAGGGCAGATTCTTCCAGTGGGCTCTAGGAGCAGGGCATTAGAGAAGCTGTCTGCACAGGCTGAGGGGAAACTCGTTTTAGTTGTGTGATCCTCCCTGTTTTTTTTCATGTCTCAGGATGCCTAGGCATAATTCTGGGGCCTGGTAAGTATGTGTCCTTTAGTAACTGGGGTCTTCTAGCCCACAAACCATTTGGAGGTAACTGGATGGGGCCTGTTAGCGACTGAAGAAGACAAAGGGTAGAGAGAGTCTGAAAACACTTGCCAGGTGACTATGCCAAATAGCTTCCAAACAACTCCCCGCAGCTCAGCTGGGAGCCCCATCGCACACATCTGGCTCCAGAGGAGACCTTAGGCTGCAGGCAGAGAAGGGGGTCAAAGAGGGGAGGTCCCATCAGAGTCAGGATGGAGGTTCCAGTAACTCAAGCTTTTTGCCTGCTTTTCCTCTCTGACTTGCTGCAAGCTCCAAACAATCAAGGTCTGATTTATGTTCCCCAAACCAGATACTGCCATCGGCTGTGCCTCTTACGAGATAAAGATGATCGAAGATAAGGGAGGGCTTGTCCATCTGTCCCAAGATAAGTAGCATCTCGTTGTCTATGAATTCCTTGAATTCTTTCAAGTTACAGTTCATCTGTTTCTCTAATTCATTACGGATCTGTGGAGTGGAAAATATCAGGAAAAGCAATTTGTTAAAGAAAACAGCTGTCCACCTCCAAAGCATAAAAGTTACAATTCAAACAGTGGCTGTTTCCAGAAAAGGTGTTTCTTTTTTTTTTTTTAAAGATGACCGGTAAGGGGATCTTAACCCTTGGCTTGGTGTTGTCAGCACCACACTCAGCCAGTGAGCAAACCGGCCATCCCTATATGGGATCCGAACCCGGGGCCTTGGTGTTATCAGCACCGCACTCTCCCGAGTGAGCCACGGGCTGGCCCAACGTGTTTCTTTTTTTTTCCCCTCAGAGAAAGCATTTAGACACACACAGCACACAATGTGTGGGTGGCAGGAATGCAGGCTACTCTACCTAAAAGTAAAGCCAACTGGAGGACATTTATTATTTCAAATAAGAAATCTGATTTTCATGAGAACTTTTCTACTGAGTTTAAAGCACTTACACTTTTACAATTAAATGTCAAATACATCACAGTGAGAATCTAAAATCACTTTCATCTTGCTTGGGAAGGTATCACAATATGATTTCATAAATGTATTTAATAAAAAGATTGTATATGACTTTTTTAAATGGCAATTTCAACCTCTTAGATCCACCTAGTTTAAATTGTTTTTAATATTCATTGAATTCCTTGAACAAAAAGCAATGGAAAAAAGAAAAAAAAGTGATCCAAGAAAGCACTAAAAGGCAGCAAGAAGGCTGTCCAGAATTTGCAGCTTGCTGGTCAGTTGGAATCAGGTGGAGAATTGTTTGCTATCTCTCACATAAAACGCAAGGCAATGTGGGGCAGAAGACAGGAGGAAAGGGCATTAACAGATAAATGCTTCTTAGTACAATCTACAGATCTCATGGAATTCTCACCAGAGTTCATACAGGTGAGGCTCAAAGAGATCAAGAAATTTTCACAAGGTCTCACGGCTGGTAAGCAGCAGATCTGGAATCAAACTAGAGTCTGACCCCAAGGCCTCTTTTGACTGAGCCCTGCTGCCATTGTAGACAAGGCAGAAATCAGCCTCTGAAAGCTGGTCAACAGACTGGTAAAGATGACCAGGGTCCAGGCCTGCTTCCACTGCACTTTTGGCAACAGGACAAGTGAACAGCACACGACCTCTGGCCTGCTAAGAACGGAAGAGCTCTCTTACTTCTTTGGAGGTCACATTTTCTAGATCCTGGCTCATCATGATGCTTCGGAGTTTGGCTTTGATGAGGCGCTCAGTCATTTCCCCTTCAGTTGGCCTGGAAAGAAATGACATTTATTTAGGAAAGCACGGAACTACGGGAAGCCTGAGGTTAGAGGTCACAGGAACACCATGCACTCTGTGGCCTGGGCATGCAGAGTTCACTTGCTGGTGTGCACATTCTAAGGGGGAGGAAGAGTTGCACAGAAAACCTGCTCCACCTCTAGAATTCTCACGAGTCAGCAGAGTGGGGAAGAGATTGAGACGACGGACAACAGTTTGGAAACTCACTCCTCATTCAGGTTCTGCAGTGTCAGAGACCCTCAGGGCAGGACGCTGGGAGTGTAGCACCCCCACACCACCAGCCCTTCAGTCTCTGCTGGAACAGGTCGGGATGTGAAGACCTCACTGCGTCCTAAGGCAGCCCAGCCAAGCTGTGGCCAGCTCCCACTCTCTATTTCTTCCACAGAACTAATATCTCTGTGCTTCCCTGTAACCTGTGCACAGTAGCCTTACTTTTACCTCTAGAGGCCACACACAGAGACCAGGACAGCCCTTCCTCCCCATCACAACCCTTCAAATATGCAAAGGCAACTGCCATTTCTCCCCAACCCTTTTCACGGTTTCTTTGAGGCCTCACATAATGTAGCTTCCCCACTCCCCTCTGAACACACTGTAGCTCATCCACAGTCGCCTTAAGATGCATTGTCCTGGTGGGACACAACCCTTTGTGAGGAGTGGTGTCCTGACCAAGAGAGAAGGGGAGAACAGCTTCTTCTCAAACTAGACTTAATGATGTGGCCTCAGGACACGTGCTGTTGGTAGCCATGTGACACAGGCTACATGCTTCACCGCTGCTGCTACTAAGGCAGGCTGCCCTCAACACTTGTGTTTTGGGCCCCAAGGAAGCAGAGGCCACATTCATAATTCTCCTAAGAGCACAGGAAGAGGCTCTGGAAATTAAGTCTTTGGCAACCTGAAGAGGAAAGGCCACACCATGGAGCACTGCCAAGGAGCTGGTGAAACACACAGCCACACACTCCTTTGAAAATCTGATGTAAGTTATAAACCTGTTCCCCAGAAATGTATGCACCAAATTTGTCTGACTTTTAAGGGCAGCCAAAGACTACCCAAGGGCCCAGGTAAGAAACCCCTGCTTGAAGTGCTACTTCTGGGCGATTCTCAATCAAAGAGCTCCAGAGGAGGGTGACCCTGTGCAGACTGGGCATTGGCACTGGGTGCGTGTGGGTGAGGCTCACACAGGAGGCGGCACCACACTTACTTGTCCACAAACAGTGCTGGGGAGTCGGGCCGCGTGGACTCCAGGTCCTGCATGGCATTCCACTCATTGATGCAGCTCTGCTCGGAGCTGATGCAGCTCTCGTAGTAGGTGGCCCAGATGAGAGCCACGCCCCCAGGGAAGTAGTTGTGCCTTCGGGCCACTTCGCAGGCCTTGTGAAGCACCTGCAGGGCAGACCTGGGGTGAGGAGGGGACAGGGTCAGGACTGGGGAGGTGCAGGAAGTGCTGGGTCTTCCCTTCCCCCAAAGGGAAAGGGTAGCTCATAAAGGATCCCCTCCTGGAGCCATGCTGACATATAAGGGCATGTGGGGGACATGCAGCCACATCCGAAACTCATGGCCTGCCGGTCCCAGAGCTAGTCTCTGACACATGCATCGACTGAGTCCAAGAACAACAACTTCATAACTCTCCCAATCAGGTTGGTTCCCATGTTATTTTACATTCCATCAATTAACTCCAAAGCATTAAGATTTACTTCTGAGGACGTGGTAACCATGAACGTAGGAACCACAATTAAGCCTAGCAGCTAGAAGGAAAAGTCTTCATATGCAGTAGAGACACTAGACTGCATTCTAAATAATTAAATTTCTAACCTCACCCACATCAACAATCTAATAGCTTAGATGCTTAGATTTCTTAAGGAAATGAGTTCTAGAAACTCATTTTAATACAGAAATTAACTCAAAAAGAGGTTTGGGGCAGAGTGGAGCAGAAGAAACAATATAGAAAATGTATATGCTTTATTTAATCACCCTCCTTTACTTCTTTTTACAAACATATAGAGTGAAAATTTCTCAGTGAATGGGGTGAATTAGTTATCAACAAAAGATGGACAAGTGAAACCCTGGAATGGAGGGAGTTTTCAGAGAATGGCTCAACAATGGTATAAAAAATATTGCAAACTATTTCAATTCCCCAACTGTACATATCTGTCCTATTTCTAGACTGGTTGAGGAGATAAACTTGAGCTGAATGTTAACTAAATTTAAATTTAGTCCTGGTTCCAAACTTTTTGGAAAAACACGTGGGCCTATTTTTTACTTGTCTGGAGAGAAAGAGACAACAAATTATTCAGGGACACAAAGAAACATCTGAGACAGCTATTGGCTCACTGTCCAGAATTATATCATGATTTTCCCCAAAGTGATCCTAAGTTGACTGCGGCATGGAGTAACAGAGGACATAAAAAAGAAATGCAATTTAAGCCTGTAGCCTAGGGAAATTTCTGCATAACTCTCACTATCCCAGAGGAAACACTGGCCAGAACTCTTCTCATGAGATGTCACCAGCTCGCCTGGGTTTTTTCCAGATTATTTGAGAGACCACTGGGTTGAATTTGCTGCAGGGGGAGTTTGTGCCATCTTCCAAGGAAGAGGAAGGTTGTAAGATGAGCCAGGTTCAGAGGAGCCATGGACGTGACGCCTTCACCCAGTGTAGCCTTTACCCACAGCTACCTCCTCCGCAGAGCAGAGTAGCCCAGGGGAAGCCTTACCCCTACTCAGGCACCTCCACAGACTTTAAATGCCATGAGGACAGAATTACATCCGTTTTATGGCTCCCTAGTTGTTCAGTGCCTAGCAGAGTGCTGTCCCCTTCTCTCAGTAATCTGAGTACCTACTGTGTACCAGGTACAATGACCATGTGAATTTATGCTGGAGTGACATTTTTGTCAGCTGTAGATATGTAAAATTGCACCTTAACAATAAAAGTAAAATCCTACTTAAAAACAGGCAAAGAACTTGAATAGATAGTTCTTCAAAGATGTACCAATGGCCAATAAACACATGGAAAAATGTTCAACGCTAATAGTTGTTAGGGAAATGCAAATCAAAACCACCATTAGGATGGTGATTCTTAAAAAAATGAACAAACAAGATTTGACAAGGATATGGAGAAATTGAAACTCTTGTGCTTTGCTGGTGGGAATGTAAAATCATGTAGCCATTGTGGAAAACAATTTGGCAGCTCCTCAAAAAGTTAAATATAGAGGGGCTGGCTGGTTAGCTCAGTTGGTGAGAGTGTGCTTGCTGATAACACCAAGGTCCAGGGTTCCATCCCTGCACTGGCCAGTCACAAAAAAGAAAAAAAAGTTAAACACAGAATTACCATATGATCCAGCAATATCATGTCTAGATACATACCCAAAACAATTGAAAGGACTTAAGCAGATACGTGTACACAAATGTTCACAGTATTATTCACAATAGTTAAAAGGTGGAAACAACCCAAATGTCCATCAACAGATAAATGGATAAACCAATGTGGTATATACACATGATGGAATATTATTCAGCCTTAAAAAAGGAATGAAGTTCTGATACATGCTACATCATGGATGAACCTGGAAACTATTATGCTAAATGAAAGAAGTCAGACACAGAAGGACAAGTGTATCATTCCACTTACATGAGGGATCTAGAATAAGCAAATCTATAGAGACAGAAAGTAGAATAGAGGTTACCAGAGGCTGAGGAGAAAGGAAAAGAGGAAGTTATTGTTTAATGGGTACAGAGTTTGTTTGGGATGATAAAAAATTTCTAGAAATGGATGGTGGTGATGGCTGCACAACACTGTAAATGTACTTAATGCCCCTGAACTGCACACTTAAGAAATGGTTAAAATGGTAAATTTTATGTTCTGTATATTTTGCAACACACACACACACACACACTCACACACCTATCTGAGCTTCTAAGAAGAGGTTTTTCTGTTCATGCGGTCAGCTAGGAAAATATTTCTAAGGAGTATAAGTCCTAAAACCACACTTACCACATGGCCTGAACAGATACAGGCTTAAATATATGCATCCTTCCTGCTGTGCTCACACTGAATCCACTGAGAATGAAAACAAAAAGAAAGATATCTGTGGTGAGAAGTTTGACCTCTTTAATCAAATCACTTTGAGACACAGGGAGCATGCCCACCGTGGACACTGAGAACAGGTATCTCTCCTGCCATCTGATGAGGGATTACAGAACCCACTGCATCAGAGACGAGGGCAAAAGCAGAGAAAGATACACCCTCAAACCAGGAAGACCTGTCTTTAAACCAGCAATGCGAGTTCTACAAAAAACTGAAAAGCCTGGCAAAGTGCACGAGGCAAGGACAAACAGTATTTGACAGCATCTCCTTTATGCTCCCACAGCTGTCCCTGCCCATCTGCTATGTCCTACCCCACTTACCCACCTATTTTTTTTGTAATTGCATGAAAATGTATTAATAGAAAACAAAATTTTAAAAAAGGAACAATATCCCGATAATCCCACCACTTCCACAAGTCAAATATTTATTTTTTCCTTCCAGTCCTATCGATGAGGCAATGTAACTTTGACCTGCTTGGAATCCCAGTGTAGAAACAATTTCCTATTCTGTTCTTTCCATGTATAACATGAGCCATGCATTTCCTTGGGAGTGAATGCGTGAGGAACCAGATGGCCTTTCACCATCTGCCTGCCCAGGCTAAACTCGGTAACTCCTCCTTGGCAGCCCCAAACACAGCACTTGAAACATCTTGTAACTGTTAGTTGCATATCTCACCATGCAGCCCCCAGACAGTGAGTTCCTGCTGGATCACATTCATCTGTGAACTTTCAGGAACCAGCTCCATGGAGGGCACTTAATGAGTATCCGCTTACTAAGTCAGGGTAAATGGATGTCAGTTTACTGCTATTCCTGAACTTCACATAGCAGCAGATCTCCTGTAACAGGCTTCCATTGATACCTCATGACCTAAACAACCTTACAGAAGGTCGAAAAGGTACTCTTCCGCTGTGGCTCACTGGAGGGCAACATGATTTCTCCTAATGTAACCAACCTCTCACACACGTGCTTCTATTACTAATGATTATCCAACGATGCCCAAACCAACTGGTGTTTCAAAGCCTACAGAGAAAGAATCTCTTTTTAAGGCATCTCCTTACCCGTCGCCATCAAGGTGGATTTTCGTGTCGCTCCACAATCGGAGAACCATCCCAATGGTGCAGCTTTTACTACACAGGGGAAGACAAGATGTCTGGAGTCAGCGTCCACCCAGTCTTCCCTCTGTTTCTGCCCAGCCTTCCCAGCTCACAGGGAACCACCACTTGACCCAGGACGGGCTGCTGGGCATCTGGGTGAAGCTCTTAGACTGTTGGGGTAGGGACCACTCACCACTGCATTCTAGAAAACACGGGTCCTGATGGCCCTGCTAGAGGAAGTCCCAAGTGACTAAACCATTTTGGTGTGGACACAACTCCATAAATACTCAGCAGAAGCTCCTGGGGTATATGGAGTGGCCAGCTGACCACACCTCCACACCACTGATGGCTGGCGCCTGCTGGTGGAAGGCCATGGCACTCTGTGGTACACAGGCAAGGAGTGGCAGCCAGCCCCAGCCTCGACTGTTCCAGGGTGACGGGGGAGGGACAGGTGCTCATACCATTGTTGGAGATCACTTTCTGACTCTGTTTTGTATCTTTTGTGTAGCTACAGTTTTACAGTTTGTAGCTTAATCTGGTTTCATTTTGCCCATCCTAACAGTGAAATGATACTTATCAACTTTAGAGACTGGCGCCACTGAAAAACAGGGAAAGAAAGGGCTTTATCAGAGGGGCTCCTCAGATTATTAAGAAAATTCTTTAGGCACATAAAAAACAGTTTGTGACAAATTGCTGTAACTGTGCCAAGGGCCAGCTCCGACAACCGTCAGGAATCTTGGGCATACATCTCTGCTACCACTTAGCAGCCCCTGCAGGGGGTACTGCCTAGGGCTCGCTGTGTGCCTGTGCGGACGGGGAGCTCTGAGGCTTATGCACCAGCTCCTTCTCCAGAGCTTCACCCACCATGGTGCTCTCTTCCAACCTCTACTTCTGTATCTGTGGGGAAGGTAGTTTCAAGCCCTTCAGATCAAATTAGACTAAGTCTTTTGGGTTGAACAAAATCTCAGGTCCTACCCTACAGTCCTACCTATTCTTGATGGACTAATTGTACAGTATTTCCTTTCCAGAGCTGCAAAATAAAATTTATGTTGAGTCTCACAGAGCTCTCATAGCTACTAGACTGTGTCACTGCCGAGAAGGGGCCCCTTTGGAGCCCAAATCTGATATGCAAAAAGCTTGGATCAGAGGGTGCTCTGGGAATGTGTGGCTGCTCAGGCCTCCCAAGGTCACATATGCAGATAGAAAACTCTGAAGGGGAACGCCTGAGCCTGCCACAGCCAGCCCTCATTCCAGCACTATCTTTTCTAACACCGCACTTGGACTCTCTCTCACTAGAACCCAATGAAGGCACCCTTTGGGGGCAATGCTCACCTTGCTTTCTCTTTTTCTGGAATAAGGAAACAAAATCTCATGGCAGGAGTTTAGAAAAGCAAGCGTATCATGCCCTCAGCAAGCCAAAGATTTGGTGAGGACCAGAGCTTTGTTTCTGAGCCAGGGGAGAACATGAGAGCCTGGTGCCGGGCAGTGTAGGAGCCACAGGACACTAATACCCACAACTCCACATGCCCAGGCATGGAGGACAGCTACATCAGGCCCAACAACAGCAAGGCCTGCTTAGTACTTGCTCCCTGTCACTTGCCTTCTGTAGCCTCTTGACCCCTCTCTCCGACCACAGGAGACCAGCACTGGCCTTGGGAGTGGCGCCTGCGGCAGGCTGTGGCTCCAGCTCAGAGTGAGCAGAGAAATGCGGGTCTAGGGGCAGAGCATGCAGCGGAGGCAAGAGGACCAAAGGGAGGGGGGCCCCCCTGAGAAACAATGCCGGGGTGCCCAGGAGGGGCACAGGGAGGGAAAGGGTAAGGGAAGGGCACTTCAGAGTGGGGGGAACAAGTGCATGGGCCTGTCTGCCCCAGCTGGTAAAGAATCAACGTGGAGTGCACATGTGTGCGTCTAATGTGCGTCCACGACCTCTTACTGTGCTCTGCTGGAACAGAGCCAGGTCTGTTGTGCACACTGATGCAGCCCCAGCACCTGGCAGGGCGCTGGCCTAAGGAAAGAGCTAACAAGTCCTTACATGATAAACGTGCGAATGGATGAACGAGCAAGGCTCTGTACAGAAGACAGCTGCAGCCAGCGGAGCCTCCTCACTCAGCAGGTCCACAGTAAAGGCCCCAAGTGTGAGTCCCAGCTCAGCAACTCACTGTGATGACCCGGGTGTAATCACTTCAGCCTCCTGAGCTTCTGATTCCTTGTGTGCAAAACGCAAGTTAGGGCTGCCTACCCCGCAGGGGGATTTAAGCATTAAATGAGGTGTTCGTGGTGGCATTTTGTTAAGTGTACTGTGCTTGGCAACTTAAGCAACAGAGATGACTGGGAAAAGGGATGGATTTCTGCGAGGCTTCAGGAGTTAGAGTAGAAATGATGGGTACAGGCTATAGGAGGCAGGTTGCGGTTGGGGATCAGAAAGTGTTATAGGACTGGACCACACTTGGTGAGGGAAGTTCCTGCCCCTGAAAGGACTCAGAAAGGCTGGACTGTCATTTGAAGAACTACTATAACCGCAACACTGTTAATCACTAAATGCCTCTTTGACTCACAACCATATGGAGAATGGCCAAAAAGATGGGGCTCTGACCATTGCTGACAGCACCTGCCTGGTGTTCTCCCAACACAACGTACAAGCCCTAGTCTCCCAGTAGCTCTTCAGAACTCCCCTCCTAAGACATGGTGTGCTGTACACTCCTCTACACCCAAGGCCACAGGTGCCAGTTCACACTCTGTTGTCCCTAAGTGTGCCGCAGAAAATTTTCTCATGATGCTGTTATGTACCAGGGGAGGAAGGAATCATAAAAGAAATGTCCTGCCCTTTTCGTTCATTAATGTCTAACAAGCAACAAAATCTTGGTCACAGGCACGTGACTCACAGCAGCTCTCTCAAAAGAACAAGACAAGGCAGCACAGTCACCAAGCCTTTTACGGCTCCGTGACTCTTTTTCCTATCGATTCTGCCTGAAATGCTCTTCAAACGCTCCCTGCTCTGCCTCTGCCCCTGAGCTTGCCTTGCTGCCCACTTGAACTTCAGGACTCGGCTTAGGTGTCACGCCCTCCAGGAAGCCTCTGGCATGTGCTCTCTAAGCCCACACCTCCACTTTCCCACAAGAGTCTCTGCACCCCTGAGCCTCTCCCTTGGGGCTGGTTATGGCGTCTTCTGTGCTGAGCTCGTAGGCTTCTGGAGGCCAAGAACTGTGTGTACTGTCACTTCTTTGTTTACCTGGGCCTATCCCATTGCCTCTCACACTGGAGAATGCAAATACATTATACATTACATGCTTATTGAATGAGCGGATTAGTGAATGATGAATACAGGGAGTCTACTTTAATCTAGTTTTAGCAAATCCACATTTTACAATAATCTCAGATGGATTAATTTATCTTAGATGTAAGGTTAGCCATTCACCCTCATTTCACACACATAATAGGGTCTATGATATAACTAACTTGGCCTCCAGTTATTGGGGAATTCTAAGCCTCTCTTAAAGCCTCTGAGCAAGGACCTGCCAAAAAGTACTTGGGAATCCATGGAATATCACTACTGGATCAGGCACTTGACACGAAGCCTAACAAGCACATAGTTCTGTATAAGCCTGTCCTCCCTGCTTCACTTGGCTGACTCTGGCTTGTCTTTATCATTCGCCACTGATGCCACCTCCTCCAGGAAGCACTCCTGGCTAAGGTACCCCTCTCTCTATTACCCAGTGTTAAATGTCTAAGCACAGTGTAACTTTTCTATCCTCTCAGTTGACTCTGGGCTCCCTGAGAGCAGAGACTGGATCTGGCAGGTGCCTGGCACACAAGGGCAGACACAGCATGCCCTACTCTTCCCAGAACCTCGGCTAGCCCCTGCCCTCTATCAGGAGCACCCTGCCGCTCCCCCTCCATCTCCTGTGGATATGGGACCATGCAAACCATTTTCTAGCAGCAACTCTTGTTCCCCTCCCAAAAGGGAACCACCATCCCATCAGACTCACCTTTCCTTACTGGAGAAGTCAACTCCCAGCAGGATATTCTCTTCAGTGTCCTGGCGCCCGCTGCTGTATACCACCACCATGTACCGGACCCGGTCTGTCCAGGCACTCTCCAAGCGCACGGCCTGGAACGGGGCATAGATGCTCTCACTGGTCCACCTTTCCAGGTGGTGCCTCCCCCCTTCGCCAAACCAAGATCAAGAGCTTTAGTTTTCTACCTGTCCCTCTGTGAGTTAAAGAATGAAGATGACATTCTCAAGAGCAGGAGCCAGTTCTCATTTATATCCCTAGCACCAGGGACAGTGCCTGGCTCAGAGGAGGCACCTAAAATGTGCACTGTGCACACACAAATGGGGTCTGAGCGCAGACCACTGTGGAGACCTGATGCATCCCTCCCCTGGCCCCTCTGGTGTACTGAGGAGCAAACCTGGCTTTGGCTTTTGTGAACAATTTTGGAGAATCCGTGACAATGTAAAAGCTTTTCCCCCTATTGTTCGTGAATGGTTCCCCACCCAGTTTCACAATTAAAAAATAAAACTTGCCACTCTTGTCTCTTCTTACCAGCTTGATTCTGTCTTCACAACGCAGGAGGTTGATCATCACTTGAAGATGCTGGGGCAGGTCCCCTGTCAGACCAATAAAGAAAGTTTTAAAAGGCTGCCCATGTACTTTCCAGGAAGAAACCTCTGGAAGACTGATTTTGAGAGTCTGGAAGAAGATTTAGAAGTTAAAATTTCTCTACCTGCACCACAGGAGAAACATCACAAAAACTTAAAGTCTCAATTTCTTACTCTGCTCCTGAATATTGAGTGATGGCAACAAGTGAATAATAGCTTACTATCATGTTGTTAAAAGTTGCTCTTATTTTCTAAAATATTTGTGATATGGGACTTTTTGTTTTTTTAATTTAAAATTTGGAAAATACAGACAAGCCTAGAGAAAAATATAATGTCATTCAAGCGAACATTAACTGGCAGGGTAGGAGGTAGAAACCACAGCCGTGGCTAGAGGAAGGCATTTGCTGAGTTAATGTGAGAGAAAAAGGTCCGTCATTTTAACCTCTTCAAACTCTTCTGCAGCTTCCATGAGAGTCAGATATTATTTCTACATCCGGAGGAGGGAATGTTTAAGTGACTCTATAGAAAGCAGCTGTACGTTGGATGCCTAGAAAAGTAATTTGAATAGAAAACAATCTGTCATGGGCCGGCCCAGTGGCGTACTGGAGAGTACGCCGCTTGGGAGTGCGGCAGCGTTCCCGCCGAGGGTTCGGATCCCATGGGGAGACCGGTTCCCGCTCACTGGCTTGAGCGCGGTGCAGGCGCAACACTGAGGGTTGCGATCCCGTTACCGGTCAGTAAAAAAAAAAAGACAAAAAAGGGAAAAAAAAAGAAAGAAAACAATCTGTCATTATTTTTTGCTTGCTAAAAATTATCTACTTTTTTTTTCCCTTCACCATTTAAAAGAGGCAGTAAACCAGAAATAGCTTTCAGACTTCCTTGAGCTGCCCCAGAATACAGGAAGTACCTCTGGGCTGGAGTGAGGAAAGGAAAGTTTCTTAAAGGCAGTGAGCGAGTTTTCACAGCCAAGCAGAAACAACCCAGTTGAAGGAGGACTGTGTGTTCCAGGAGGAGGGGACTGCCTTAAATGAGGTGCATAATTAGGAAGTAACGGGTATGATTCTAACGCGCCTTTTTCCCAGCTTATACATTTTTAAAAAATGTTTGCACAGGTTTCTTTCTGAAGCAAAGGTTCATCTGTAAAGATGTGGACCTAGAAAAAGGTGCAGGGAAAAACTCAGAAAATGTGTATCAAATTCAATTTTGTGCAACACCCCCAAGACAGAGAATTATCTTTTAAAAAAAAAATTACCCTATGAATCACTATTAGAACCCCAGAAGGATTCATATTGCTTACATACGCAAACCTCCAAGAGACAGCATCGCACTGGTTCCTTTTGCAAAAGTATCTTTTTCATTTTAAGGCAGAATGACATAGGATGTCCAAACTGCACTTCTTGCCTCACAGAGGAATCGGATCATTAGAAACTTGCCCCACTACATAGAAGGGCAGATCTCATGCTAAGTATTCTTCCTACAATAAACAAAATTAAAAAAACAAAAAATGGATCTAACTCCCTGACTTTTAACAAATTCACTTAACTATTCTCTCCAGTTATAGGACTTCACAGTGTGAAACACCCTACACTGCTTTCTATAAGGAATGATCTGAAGATAATAGTTCACATTAAAGAAGGATGTACAGCTCTTGCTCCCCTTCCTCCACCTAAGCAGCACCCCACCTGTCATGTCACCAACGCCGCACAACACCATGGGTGGGTCTTCACTGGCCTGGGCCCTCCCACCATCCACCCCAAGTCACCACACTTCACAGATGAAAGCAGAACCAAAGCCCTTGTCTGACAAATGCCTAAATGAAAGGGACATTTTCCACACAGATAAACTCCTGTCAGTGGAATTGTCTGCTGAGATGTGGAACTGCTGACAGACAGAAATCCAAACCCCAGTCTGACATCCACACACACAAAAAAAATCACAGAATATGAGCTGAAAGTACAGGCTCTCTAAAGGGCCTCCAATTGACTGGATTGGCTAAAACAAATGGAATGGCTTTGACACGGGCAGAATTAACCCTTGACTGCACTCAGCTCTGGTGAGGACAGAGGGGACTGTGGTTCATCCAGCGGACTTGATGGGAAAAGGGAAAAAGGAAACTAATGTCAAGTCTAGCTTGTGCCTGCCCCAAGGTCATTTACTGAACATCCCTGGACAGCCAGTGGCCCTTCTGCCTCCTGAGCTCACCATCCATTCCAGACCTCAGGGGCAGAAGGGTCAACCAGCTTTCTTCCTACTCTTGTGTGCATTTGAGAGACACAGGAGCCAGCTTTACTTCAGTTTTCTTTTACAAAATGGTTTTGCACTTACTTCCCCAAGCTCACACAGTATGAAAATATTCTTTGAATCAGAGGAAGGAGACATTTTATGCTTAGTGAGCAATGCTTGGGCACTCGCTTTGTTGTATGTGTTACAGTTAAGATGTGAACAATGACTAAATTCTGAGCAGGACAGAACTACAAGCAAATTCAAGAATGAAGGGTCTGTTTATATTATTATTTTTATTTTTATTTTTTTTCCTTTTTTTGTCTTTTTTACTGACCGGTAACGGGATCACAACCCTCGGTGTCGCACCTGTACCGGGGACCAGCAACGGGATTGCAACCCTCGGTGTTGTGCCCGCACCATGCTCAGCCAGTGAGCGGGAACTGGTCTCCACATGGGATCCGAACCCTCGGCGGGAGCGCTGCCGCGCTCCCAAGCGGCGCACTCTCCAGTGCGCCACCGGGCCGGCCCAATATTATTATTTTTAATTTAATTTTATTTATGCATATATTTTTTTGATGGCTAGCCGGTATGAGGGACCAAACCCTTGACCTTGGTGTTACAGGCTGTGCTCTAACCAACTGAGCTAACCAGCCAGCCCCTTGTTTATAGTTTTATTGTACTAAAAGTCACTGTAGTAATAATTATAGCTGTGTGTGTGTGTGTGTGTGTGTGTGTGTACATACATGTGGTACCTACTAGAAGGGGGGTATATTACATGCATGAGTTTTAATTTCCACATTGTCTGAAGTAGTAGTGTTTGATGCCCATTGTAAAGATTAGCAAACTGAGGCTCAGAAGTTGACCTAATACTGCTCAGTAAGTCATAGAACTGTGATTTGAAGCCAAGTCTGTCTGGCTCCAAAGCAATATTCTTTCCACAAAAAGTACTGCCTCTTTGGGCAGGACAGCTATTTTCTTAGCTTATGATAGACCTAAATTTTGGCTATAAATATCAGTATGTGAAAATACTGACTGAGTCTTGGTGTTGGCTACAAACTGTAAGGTATGAAACTCTAACCTAAGCACTTACATCTGAAATGAAGCGGAATGGCTTGAAGTTAAACAAACAAGACGATCACAGGTGACAAGAAAACTGGCCCCAATTGCTAGTTGGTTTCACTTGTTCTGAAAGGTAAAGACTTTCCCAGCTCAGACATCCAGACATGCACTGCCTGCCCAAGAAGTGCCCTGAGAGGCTACTGACCTATGACAAAAATTCACTTGCATGCACACCTTGTTTGAATTCCTCTTTTCAAATTGCCTTCAGTTTCAGGGTCAAGTCATCTACATAAACCAGTCTTACTACTTTAAAGACATTTCTTATCTGTTTGCTTTTGGACCTAAGTTTTAACACTCTGTTTGATCCCCACTGTACTACTTCTGTTTAGTTCCAAAAACCAGACTTTCTACTACAGCATAAAGACTTCCAACCACAATAACTATGTCAGAGTGCAAGCCAAAGGCTCTTTATTAAAGAAATTCCCCACATGAGAGTTTTTCAAATGCTCAGAGAAATGATAGGCTCCCCAGACAAGGTATATACCACCTCAAGTGGTTATTTTCAAGAGGACATCTGGCTATAATGCATTTTGGTGCATTTGTTAAAAAGTCATACTATAGGGCCGGCCCGGTGGCGCAATGGATAGTGCGCCGCTTGGGAAGCACGGCGGCGCTCCCGCCCGAGGGTTCGGATCCCACATACAGACCGGTTCCCGCTCACTGGCTGAGTGAGGCGCGGGAGCAACACCGAGGGTTGCGATCCCGTTGCCGGTCCCCGGTCCGGTACGGGGGCAACACTGAGGGTTGCAATCCGTTGCCGGACACGGAAAAAGACAAAAGACAAAAAAAAAAAAAAAAAAAAAAAGTCATACTATAATTTTAAATAAGCAGTTAACAATCAACTGCATATATCCCAAAGGACGTTGCTGACCACCTTACCTCTCACGTAGACACACATAGTTTAAAAGGTTCACCAGCTCCCACTGCCACCGGAAAAATATGCATGGCCTGCTCAGGGAAAGAGCATCTAAGTCTCTACTTGCACTAGTCATTACAAACTGGTGTTCCACTATTTCTCTGGCCTTGAAACCCAGTAAATTGCTCACCACTGATGATGAAAGCTTCCAGTGTTGTACAGAAAAGAAGTTCCAATTTAAGAGTAACAACTTAGAGCCATCACCTGCATGCTTGTGGGGGTGCTGAAGACTCCGCTGGCCTTGAGGGCTGTTTCCCTGTTGTAAGAAGAGAGCTGCTCCTTTCACCATGAAAAAGCTCTCACTTAAGCTGGGAAGAATAAAACCAGAGCACAGTTAGACTGGAATTTAGAGAGGAAAATGGGTAAAGACATGCTGCAGAGGGAAAGCTTTAGAGTGGACAAATGGCATATAAAATGCAAATGGGATGAAATCATTTTTATAATAATTTCACAGAGTACTCTTCCCAAACCTTGCCGTTGCTAATGGGAGAGTTTTCGTGATGAAATAACATATCTGCTAAAACACCCAAAGTTCTTTATGGGCTCTCCCAGGGCCAAGAGCTCCATCCTGTAGAATACTAGAAAGGGATTTCATGGTAGTACATTTCACTGTAGTACATTTTCTAAAAATAGAGAACAACACCCTGATTAGGAGAGGGTAATCCATTTTGTGAATTTTTCATACTCTTGTTGATCTTTGCTTCTAATTCCCTGACTTTTAACAAATTCACTGATTCTTGGTGCCTCCTCTTGATGGTATCCAAGAAAGATGAAATTACACTTTCACTAGTTGCTTGCATCTTAAGAAAAGTGGGTGGCTACTGATCTGTGGTCTAACTTAGTCAAGAATGTTCTATCCACTATTCCTGCAGAAAATCTCAAGGTGACCAATAAATTTCTCAGCAGAATGAATCTTTGGCCTTTGTTATCTTAATTAGCAATAACATTTATATTCAAACTAAAACTTAAAAAATTACAATTAAAAAAGTTTTGCTTTCATGATTTAGTTATCAAAAAACATCTTCAGCTTATGCAGAAATTTAAGACATTAAAAAAAAGAAAGCCTCATCTATGAATTACTACCAATTATTAAAAAATACCATCAACTCTGAAAATTACCCATAAAATATACCAAAATTATTAACAATGGTTTCTGGGGGATGGATCATCTATGATTTATCTTCTTTCTACTTCTTAGTATTTTCCACATTTTCTATATTGAACAAATATTAACTTTTTAAAATGGCTATTTTTATTTGATTTTCAAAGTACTATAAAACACATACTACACTTTATCATTTATTTATTTATTTATTTATTGTCTTTTCCGTGACTGGTAAGGGGATCACAACCCTTGGTTTGGAGTCACCCGCACCCTGCTCAGCCAGTGAGCGCACCAGCCAGTCCTATATAGGATCCGAACCCGCGGCGGGAGCGTCGCTGCGCTTCCAGCGCCGCACTCTCCCGAGTGCGCCACGGGGCCGGCCCTATACTTTATCATTTAAAAAGCCATTTTCACCACGCCGGCACCTTGGGGCCCACCCAGGGAAGCAAGGCATGGACCCAGGGACCAGACACCCCTCCCCCCCACAACCAGGCACACCATGCCAGTGCCTCGGGGCCCGCTGGGGACTCAAGGTATGGAGCTGGAGACCAGACACTCCCTACAACCAGGCACACCACCAGCACCAAGTAGCATGCCAAAAACATCACCTCCATGTGGGTGGCCCACCACAGCCACCACAATAACCATAGCTGTTGTGAAAGTGGCTAGATGCTAGAACCACCACACAGATGGTCCGCCAGCCACTGGAGTGCATTGACGCTAGGAGAGTCACCAGCAGAGAGAAAGAAAAGAGGAGGATGTCTCTCTCCACAAAGCCATTTCAGAGTGACAGAAGAAGCATCTGCTCTATAATACTGGGGGACCTGATCACACTTCTCGGCATTGGACAGATCATCTAGGCAACAAATCAACAGAGTAACCATTATTCTTTCAGAAGGAGAGAAGAAATCTAGGGTAATTTAGCAGAGGGAAGGGGAAGAGAGAGGGGATGGGGAGAGATTGAACAAGGGGTATAAAGAATAATTACGATTTGTAACAATGTATATGCTAGTAATATTGATTTGATCAACATATCTTAATTGAACCCCAAAAATATGTATAATCAATTTTTATTCAAAATAAATAAATAAATAAAAATAAAATAATTTTGTGAAAGAAAGTCACAGTTCAAATTATATAGAACTATAAAAATAATTCTCTCTTGAGCAACTAATTAACATATACCTGATTTGAAGGGAAACTAAGAAAAAGCAGTCCTTTTTTTTTTAAAACAGAACCCTGGACTTAAGCAAATCAATTCCTGACAGAAATACAAGGAAGTTTTCTGTAATATAAAAAAGCAAGATCACTTTTGTCCCAAACATCTAACGTCAGTAGTTAAACATTCTAATCCTGGAACAAAAAATACATCTAAGTCTGACATATAACTCTAGGTGTTAAGAAAATGCCTCATAAACTAGCATGTTAAATCAGCAGCTCCTGAAATCAAGAAAACTGTTATTTTCTATGATGTTAGGTCCACAATAAAATTTGCTACTTCTTCTGGTTAAATTCTCATGCTAAAAACAATGACTGCTCTAATTAAATAATAAGGCATATTTCTGCCTCTCCTACTCGGGCCTTTGAATTATGGACAATTGTTTTTATGTATTTCATAATACCAATATGTTACATGTGTACAGCACTGCATCTGTTATTATAAATGTCCTGCACCAAGTCATCCTTCCCATCCTATTATAGTTGCATATTTGTGTTGCAAGTTTCAAGTGTTGAGGAGGCCAGGATTATAAATAATGAAAGAAATGAGAAACACCCTTTCTTTGCAGTTTCACCCTCAACGCCGGGAAGCAAAAAGCTTTTTAACACCCATCTGGCCAATTTAAGATCCAGGCTGTCTCATTTTAGCAGGTTCCAGAATCACTTAACACTCTTCTACCCCTGAAACTTATCACCCTCTCCTTCCTTAGAATTTTACAACCAAGTCTATTTTCAGAACTATTCTGTTTCAGACACAAATCACTTACTTATTGTCACCAAAATCTGAAAGAGCTGTGGAAAGGACTCCAAAACCCAATGTGTAACTTAAAACAAGAATCCGTTCATCAAAGCAGCTGGGGAAATCTTCTCAAGGCAACATCAACCTCCTTTGTTCATGAGTTAAAAAAAAAAAAAAATCCATACTGCCCAGAAACCCAAGCATTCTGGAAACAGCCAACCATTAACGGTGACCTTTGCCTTGGAAATCATGGTCAAAAATTCCCCTTGGTTTCCCTTACATTTCCTTTAGAAAAAAAGGGAACAATGCAAAAGAACAGGCTGGTGTTACCCTGTGATCACTTATAAGGCCGGTTGTTCCTCAGACTGATAAGAGTCAATCCCCACCTCTCACACATGAAGCCAGGGTGGCTGTATTGATTGGGAGCCGGTAACACTCTGCCTCTGTTCCCCATGACAATCAGTAGCAGGCATTTACTGTAAGGAGCAAGATTGAAAGCTTCAGGGAAGCCCAAGGAGCACATTATCCCCAGGCCGTGAGATCACTCTGTGTCTTGCGAATACAGAAAAGAGGTACGGCAAGAGGAAAATCACACAAGATGACTTTTGGGGCTGAGATGCAGAGGGGTGGGGTGCGAAGCCACAGAGCATGGCCAGTCACAGGATTTATGGAAACAAGATGCAAATATTCTTTGTGACCCACTTCCCGGCTTCTGCTCTGAGCTCCCTGAAAAACCAGAGCCTCATGCGCTCTGTGTGGCTGAACTGAACACTAGCACTGACGGCCAGGGCTTCATGTGGTTCTCTTGGCCAGACTTCTAATACCAAGAGGCACGGCACTCCGAGTCATCAGAGCCTCACAGTGCCCCTGTGGGGAGGTTCTTTAAGAAATCCACGTTGGCGATGGCACACGCACTTTACTAGGCACCAGGGCCAGGAAGCACAAACCAACCCACAAACCAGCCATCCCAGCTCCAGAACAATCAGCCTTCTCCCAAGAGGTTAGTGTCCTAAAGAGAGCAACTTAAGTTCAGAAGGTCAGACCCAGACAAAGCGAAAACGTTTTCCTCCACTGCTTTCAGAGAAAACTTGACAAGAGATTAAAAAAAAAAAAAAAAAAAGGCCAAGCCACCGCCCTCCCCCCCTCCATGCTCAACGCTTTTATCTCCACAATACAAATATGTTCTCAGACACTGATTACTGCCATTCGGGAAGGTTTCATAAGATTAAAGTTTCTACAAAGCATTGAAGACAGACAAAAACCTCAATCAGTGTTCCTCAAAAAACCCCAACCCTCAGAATATAAACAGCCAGTGTCATCCAGAAACCAATACATGGTAGGAAAATAGAAATCAGTGCTGGAAATACATACTAATTTGGGCTGGAAACCTTTGAACAGCAGAAGTACTGTGTCGGCCGAAGGAAGATGCAGAAGTCAGTAAAATAAAAAAGGTTCATGATTGCTGTGTTCACATCTTCACCAGCCCCTCCACCTGCCTGCCGAGCTCCTGCCGTCCTCTCCCAACAGACAACAACACAGGCCAGGAAGAGGCTGGGAGTCCTTCAATGAGGGCTGGAGTCCTCCTCCTTGGATGATGTTCCCACCCAAAGAGCAAATGGCTCTTGTGGAACTCTCAGTCTTCCCCTGATATTTTGTCTTAAAAAGGCCCTTGTCCCCAGCATATCCTGATGAAAGAGTTCCATTCAGAGGGAGCAAAACAGCTGAAGTTCCTCTAATCACTTTACTCCTACGGGCTTTTTCCCCCCTGTAGGCTTTAGGAATGAGCAATAGGATGTGCATTAGAAATCGTGAGGGAAAACAGCTGGCCACCAAGTAGCAAACCCCAAGCTAGGAGGACCCCATTCTGGTTAAAATCAACATATGGAAGGATGTCTCTTTCTTTCAAATCACCATCCATTCACCCAACAGTATTGTGGGCAGCTGCCACCTTATTCTGCATTTTCAACAGTACTTTTACATTCTGAAAATTCTTCAGTCGTGCTAATAGCTACTTGGAGGGCCTGGTGACCGGCTGCAGGAGGACATCCCAGGTGGAGGGACCCACAGATGCACCTAAGAGGAGCTTTGAGAGATGCACAGAGCCTAGGGCAGGTCAGGCTGCAAAGGCAAAGGAGGCCCAGGGTGAAACCCGCCTGGCAGGAGCCAGTCGAGAGCTGTCTGTTTTTAACTTTCAGATGGTGAAACAAATTAAGGATGCAGATAACCATAACGCAGAGCAGAATGGGGTAAGTACCTTAAGAAAGGATCCCT